AGGGTGAGAAAAATATTCTAAAATTGACTGTTGGAACAGTTGCACAACTCTGTGAATACACTAAAAGTCACTGAATTGTACACTTTAAATGGGTGAATTTTATCCCAATAAAGCTGTTAAAATTTTTTTTTAAAAAAAAAAGTACAGCCATCTTTCATTCTAGAGCACGTAGGAACCCTTCAGAAACACTGCATCTCCCAGAGCTTTGAGTGTTGCAGTATCCCAGGGAATGGCCCACAGACCTCTCCTATCTATGGATATGCCGTCTTGGTGAGCTCACTCATTCCCACAGCTCCAAGGACTAACAACTTCCAAACTCCTGCCCCCCGACTGGAGGCTTTGCTGAACTCTAGAGTCACGTATACAACTCTCTAGTCTACAGATCTACTTACAGGTCTAACAGACATCTCAAACTGAACAAATCGAGCTCCAGACACTCTCTCAGAAATTCATTCCCATCTTCCTCATCTCAGTCAATACCCCTTCCCTTCTTCCAGTTGTTCAGGCTAAATATCTTGGGAGTCACCTTTATTGAGACTTTCTCTCATTCCATGTCCAATCCTTCAGCAAATCCTGTGGACTCCTCCTTCAAGATACATCCAGAATCCCACCACCTCTCAGCACTTCAATGCTGCCACTCTGCTTCAAGCCAACCTCAGCTCTCGGCTGGATTACTGCAAGGGCTTCCTTGCTTCTGCCCACGTGCACTTCGCTATTCTCAGCAGTCAGAACAATCCCATTAAAACATACATTCAAGTGGTGATTCATACTGCTGCTGTAACTGTTACTTATATATATTACTACTTGCCAAGCACTATTTTAAATGTTTATTTAATCCTCATACATATTACTACTTGCCAAGCACTATTCTAAATACTGGTTTATTTAATCCTCATAACAACAATTTGACAGATGAGAAAACAAAAACACAAAAGATTTTATAAATAACTTGTCCAAGGTCACGTGGTTAGGAAGTGGCAGCCCCAAGATTCCAACAAGGGGAGTCTTCAATACTAGTATGTAGTTATCACTCAACTCAAAACTTCAATTTTGGCTCCTTATTACAATTACCTGGGAGTTTCTGTAAAGCTCTGATGCCTAGGCTAGATGCCCCCACCTCTCAGAGCAATTAAATCAGAAACTCTGGAGATGAGCTCTAGGCATCAGCACATTTTTAAAGCTCCCCAGGTAACTCCAATGTTCAACCGAGGTTAAAACCATCAATTTCATGCAATCCATCTCACTCACAGTAAAAACCAAAGACCTACACGCCTCCCCTATCCCCTACCCCAGCCCTCCCCCGGCCCCCTTGCTCACCACCTGGCCAGTGGACTCTTGCTACATCACACAAGCTCCCCACTCAAGGCCTTTTAACCTAAAGGTCCTCTTCTCAGTGAAGCCTTCCCTTGACACCTTATCTAAAACTGCAAATGCTCCCAACTGTCCCATCACTTCCCACCCCCTGCCTGCTTCTCCTTAGCAGATTTCCTTAGCATTTATTGCTAACAAACGATATCTTTTACTTATTTACCTGTTTGTTGTTTCCTCATACTGGAATGTAGGCTCCATGAGAGCAGGGATTTTTTTCTTCCTATTTACTACTGTTTCTCCAGTGGCTAAAACAGTGGGTGGCACATGGAAGGCACTCAGTAACTAGTATTTGTTGAATGAAGTATTAAGAAACCCATAATTACTGCAACCAATCTGAATGTTTAATTTTCCAAACACAAAGTTGCTTTTTCCTCATCAGACAAGAGATCATTTAGCAGATTTATCTGACTGGTTTGTTTAGATGATGGAAGGAAAAAGGTTCAAACACTCTATTAGCATTTGGATTTGTATTTTCAATAAAGTCAGTATGAGGCAAGAATAGATAAAATTTTACTATTTAAACCTCCCCAATATTTGCCCTGGCTGGTGTGGCTCAGTGGATTGAGTGCTGACCTGAGAACCAAAGGGTCACCGGTTCAATTTCTGGTCAGGGCACATGCCTGGGTTGCCAGCCAAGTCCCCATTAGGGGTACACAAGACTCAATCGCACATTGATGTTTCTCTCCCTCTCCTTCTCCCTCCTTTACCCACTATCTAAAAATAAATAAATAATATCTTTTTTAAAAATAGGCAAAAAAACCCTCCCCAATATTTATCCTCAGTATTACTTATGCTCTAAGATATATAGTTAGATAATATAATCAATCAGCAGTTAACAAATTCACAGTTAATACTTCATCAATCAGGAACCAGGACGTAAACCAAAAAATAAAAACAAAATCAAAATCAGAAAGAGACAGAAAAAAAGAAAAATTAAATTCTGCACAGTGAGACCTTACTAGGCCCACAGGACTTCACTATTATTTGTTAAATGTTGACTGAGACCATCCTTAATGTCCCAAGTTGCTGACACACACAACGCTGACTGGGCACATGCGGACATCAAGGCTCAAACATCTGAAGAGTCCGGCATTGACCCCCATCCCCAAGGCTCTGGCACCCTAACCAATGCCTTGCCATCATTCTGCACTATACAAGCAGTTGACAGGGAGAGAGAAAAAAATCAGAAGTCTTCCACGTCTTCAGGGAAAGCACAGGGAAAGGAAGAGGGCAGTCTCTCAAAAACAGTGGCAGGGGACACCCGAGAGAATCATTCACGAAGACAAGAAGTGCCTATAAAGAGAGCCTGGCACCTCATTCTCCAGCGCAGTGTCTGCTGATGAAGTGCCAGGGCACAGAGAGGGGGCCGACTTGAGCAGCCTGCAGGCCAATGTTGGGCATCTCAAGGAAATGCGTTTCCAGTGGGTTAGGTGGAAGCTGCAGAAGGCAGCTGGACTTGAGCGGTCTTGCTGGAATCATAAAATCTGGCTGCTAAAGAAAAGATCCCCAACCCACCACACCCCCACACACTCACAGGAAATTAAGGTGGACAGGGACAAGGAAGTGGATGTGTCGGTAGCAAATTTCGTATTCAGGAGCTCTGCGCAGGGGGCTCTCCCTGCAAAAATCTCACCAAAATTCCAGTTTGGACCCCTATCAGTGGACATTAGTGACTTGCCACTGTCAATACTACCAGGTAAGAAGAAATACTTGTCCTTTCACCTTTTCTTCTGACTAGTCCCTGTCCAAGCAGATCCCAGAAGAGGGAAGAGAAAGAGGTATCCTGGGGGCACATCCCCATCCCTCCTCCCTCCAAGTGCTTTGTGCAGTGAGTGGCCTGACACTGGGGCGAGGGAGGAGAGGAGCTTTAAATTGAGTACGAGATTGAAGGTTTAAACTGAAATAGATTAGACTGGAGCTTTTAATAGCTGTAAATGCAGAAAAGCTATCATTTGCCCATGATGTCATGAGGCAGAGAGAGACAAGGAAGAGAAATATCCAACAAATCACACTTAAAAGCAGTGAATGTTGAAAAAAAGACTGTTTTATGTTTGTTCCCAACAAGCTCAAACTGCTCAATACCTGATGGCATATGGAACAGCATTACCGCCCTTCCTAATGAGAGAGAATACCTGACATGGGAATTCCCGGGGGGGGGGGGGCGGGGGATTTACTGTCCTGCATAAGATGCTACATTAGAAGTCCTCTGAGATCGCTTCCCATGCTAAGTGCCTGTGAGCGTCCTTTCTTCCAGAAGGGGGTGAACTGAATACAGAATCCAGAGTTCAATGGTTAAACTCATAAAAGTCTAAGCTACATAAAGGGATAAAACCACAACTTTTGGATAATAAAACTTTCAGAATGACAAGTCTGATAAGGATTCCATGAAGGAAAAAGATATTTAAGACTTAAAAGTCTAAAAATATTTAGGATTCTCAGGCTTATTTATATATTTAAAAATATCCCAAATGACTGATTTTCTTTTACCTTCAACAGACATTCCAGTTCAAAAAAGCTTATGTTCTAAAATCCCCAAAACACTACGTTCCTGAATCAAAGCAATTCAATTAATGAAAAGGTTTACCAACATAAACAACAAATATGTTTGCTGGAATATCTTTCTAGGAATTATAAGTTCACATATTCCTTAACACACCAGAGCTACTAAGAAAAAAAAATAGTACTTACAGATCAAATGGTTTAACATCACTCACTGGGGTAACAACTGTCAACCGGAATTTTGAGTTTTAAAGAAAAACACCCCCTATTTTTATGTTTCTAAAAATAATTGCGCATTACAGACAAGCATCTAAAGCTACCAAAAGTTTCTACCTGAAGAACTCATTTTTGATACCACCTCAATAACTTCCAAATGCTGTGTACTTACAAATGGTCAAAGGAATTAAAACTAAATTTTAACAGTTACATCCTACTGAACTCATTTTACTGTATCGCTGCAGATCTGAACTGACAATCACCTTGAAATGCAGTATCAAATTCCAATATTGCCAAAAGTAAAATGCTCAAACATGTGGAAAAAGTAGCATTTTTGTATTACCTCAGCTCACAGCTGAGGCAGTTCCTGTATAATACTTGAATTTTTCTAATAAAAGCAGAGTGTAACTATTGTTACATCTGAATAATTACTACATCTATTCAGAACTCTATCTTCCCCATTCTTAAATGACAGAGTTATTTAAACAAGAACAACTATTTAACATCAAGCAACATTTCAATGGCAAAGTCTGATTTAAATTATTCTAATAAATCACTCCATAGATTTCATTCTGGGTTACAAATTACCAAGAAGTCAAACTAACTGGGTTTTGCAGCGTGACTCTAAGAACTTGCGGCCTTCAAAGTCTTCTTTTTAAAAGCTGCATCAAATATCTCTAGAGAAAAAGCCCCTAGAAACATATAAATGTTTCTCTCTTTCCCAAGTATTTTTCCAGGGCCCTTCCCCATCATCATACCTACACGTGAACAACAGGACAGCACTGCCCACGGTTTACTTTTCAAACCAAATACCCCCCTGCTATTCTTAATGTCTTCAAACGCTTCTAAAAAGGTCCTTCCGGCCTATGAACTCATGGTCGTTTCCTAACAATTGTGGACTTATCCTGTCTTACCGTCTCTCCCAGTCCACGACCGACGCAGGCTCGCTCACTGCCTTTCCTCTCTGCTACACCGCGAAAGCTGGAAAACAAAGATGCAAACCTGCCACTTCCCTCTCAGAGCAACAATAAAAACACTAATTAACAAGAGAAAATGAGGTATGAAGCAGTTTCAACACATGTATCACAGCGTAACCTCAAAGCCATCCGCTGCTCACCCGAAAGGACCAGCTCGCCGCCACCTCCCTCGACGCGGGCGGCGAGGGTGTACAGCATTATCAAAGACAGTAACCATTAACTCGCACTCGGCTCAGCTCGCACAGACGGGCTTAAATACACAAGCACGCTAAAACGCGACTTCCCTCGGGAAGATCGGGCCAAGATAAGGAGAATTATTCTCTCCGTGGGGAAATACTTTTGCCACAAGTGTGTACGTAGGAACATTTGAGTATGCAATGTAACATGCATTTTCGTCCCACAGACTCGTATTATTTTGAAATAACAGTTCACGTTCTTTAGATGGTGAAGAAAACCAGTTTTACAAAGTGATTTTTTTCAACTTTTCCTTCTGAATTATATGAGGCTTATCCGAGTGCGGCTGTGAAGTTTCAATGGCATGAAACACACACACAAAGTGTGAGCTGAGTGCGTGGGGGGCGGGGGGGGGGTCCGGCTGATCAGTAGTTCGAAGATAAAAGACAATGGTTTAAACCTCATACTGCGCCGCTTGTTCCAGTCGTTAAACACACAGGAAATAAGATTTTCTACTTCGAAAACTAATTCACAAAGGGCAATGACTTCATTAAAGCCCAGAACATCTCATTAAAACAGACAACGATCAATCGCACAGTAAGAAAACCGGCATCGCAGGGCTGGGAGGTGGGAAGAGGCAAGAGACGCGCGCTGCCTCGCCCTTCCCCCTCGGACCCGCGCGGACCTGCCCCCGGACTCCGCAGCCGAGGCTCCCCGTTCATCCGCGCCGCCGACGGGGCCGCTCTGCTCCGGGGCGCAGCTCACCCCGACCGCCACCCAAGGCTGCACACGCTCCAGGCACCGGGACCGCTTTCGTTATGACAACCCGTTCCCCCTGACGGTCTGTCCAGCAGGGTCAATAGAAAGCACACGCACTAAACCACAAACAACCCAGGACGGCCCCAAAGCGGTGCCACCTGGGCTCTAGGCGCCTCCCCGGTCCTACCTGCGTGACCTTGGGCAAGTCGCTTTCCACTGCCGCACGGGTCGTCTGCACCATCCAGGTGCGAGGCTCAACCCTCAACACTGAGATTCTACGACGCAGGGCGGGTTCTACAGGCGAAGCGCGTTAAAATATTACCAAACGCTGCCCAAGGCAGCGGAGCCCCCGTGGGCACAGCCCTGGAGGCGAGCCACTCCGACAGGCGTCGCCCGCCGGGAATCCCCGGACAGCTGGCCGGCGCGGGGCGTCCAGGAGGAGGGCGCGACTGTACTTTTTAGCAGAGCCACTGAGTGGCTCGTCGGCGACTGCCACCGCCGCTGGCCTCCCCGCCCTTCTCGGCCGGACGCCGGGCTGAGGTCAGGAAAACAATAAGGCAGTCGCGGGAAGGGGACACCGCCCCCTCCCGCCGTTCCCGAGCTCGCGCGCGCAGGTGAGCCGGCCCGCGGCCTCGCCCAGGTGCGGCCGCGCGGAGCGCACACGTGGGGAGAGGGGCCTCGGGGGCGCAGCCCGGGACCCCGCGCCAACTGCCGCCCGCCGCCCCGCACTCACCTGCGCCCGCCGGCCCCTCGGCGGACGCGCGGCCGCCTCCCAGCTCGCCTCAGCCGGCGCGGCGCTCCCCGAGAACCAGCCCCGCCCACCTCGCCCAGCGCGGCCTCGCTCCGCACGCAGAACTTCACCACGGCCCTCAGCCCGGAACAACCGCACCGCCTCGACCGTGCCTACCACAGGCGCCCAACTGGCGGAGCGGCGCCCACGACGGCTAGCCTGAGCACTGCGCACGCGTGCCCGCGCCGCCTCTGCCCCCAGACGGCCGCCGAGATTCCGGAGCGGGCACCGCTCCCAGCCCGCGAGACTACAAGACCCGGCAGCCGCCGCGCGGACCCCGGCGGCGTGGCGGCCGGGTATCCGATGTCTTCCTGGTTCCAGGGAAGGCGGCTTCGGACGCGTCGGGGCGGGTCGCGCGCGGAGCTCTGGGCCCCTGCGATGCGGAGCATTCTGGGATTCGTAGTTTTTGAGGACGCGGGGCATGGCTCGTGGGTGGGACTCAGGGTTCTCTGACATCATCGCCGAGAGCTTCGGGGCACTGGGATCTTTAAAAATAGGCTTCGTTCGTTTGCAGATAATCTGTTTGCAAGCTGTCCCATAATCGGCCCGGGAAGCAGAAGTTCAGTGGCTGCGGTGTGGCCTGGAGTAAAACGCTTTTACAGCACTGCGCGCCAATTCTTCCCTCCTGGTCATTTCTCCCTAGAACTGTATGTAGCTCCACCTCCTACCCAATAGGACAGGAGCCTAAGAGATAAACTTTAATAAGGGTCAGTTGAAATTCTTTCAGGGAGGATGGAGCATAAATATTTATTCGTATTTAACATGTCTGTTGAGCACCTACTACTGTGTGCCAAGTCCCGTGATAGGCACTAGGAATACATCTGAAAAAAAGACAGACACCATCATGCGTTCATGGAGCCTGCAGTCTGTAAGGGGAGCTAGTCCTTAAGCAAGGTAATTAAAGATTTTAATGCAATGAAGAAACTGAGCAAGTTAAGGAGATAGTGGGGAGGAGGGGCTCCTAAGTGAGGGTGGTCAGGGAAGGCTCTCTGAGGAAGTGATATTTGAGCTGAAACCTGAAAAATGAGAATTATTCAGACACGCAAAGAGCCAAGAAAGAATTATATGCCACACCTTTCACAATGCATGGCACATACTAGGCTCTCCATAACTATTCTGTTCGTGTCCTCCTTCCTTTCCTTCTGCTGCGCAGCCTTAGGTCACATCCTTCCCTCTTTAAAATCTTTATCAACACAGGTCAGAACAGCCTTCCTGTATGAAGTTGTACAGGAGACAAATCAATGTCCAGTGGTAGGACAAACTGTACAGCTACTAGCACAGAAAACACAATTTACCGTAAATGCCAATGAGCCTGATAACATGGCAAGAATCCTCACTACTTAAGCCCCTCTTTATCTGCAAACTGGGTTAAAAGTCCGGACCCTCAGCCTGGCTCCTAACTTGATTCTGTTTATGGGGCAGACAATTGGATTTGGAGTCTGCCCCTGTTAGCATCCAGTCAGAAGCATAGATATTATCCCATCTGAATCAGTTTGAAGTGAAAGACAGCCTTAGACTTACCTGTGGCAACTTAACCCAGTGGGACCTTAGGCAGCATGTGACATTTTGCTGTACTGGCCCTCAGTGAGCACAACTGCTCCCCTTAGAGAATGTTCCCAGAGTCCCATCAACTGCTGGAAGTACAAACACCTTGCAAGCTTCATGGAAGGCCCCTGTCCTGGATTTTTCAGAAGGCTTACCTTCAACATTTCCAAGGTGATTCTTCTGTTATCTTTGAGAAATCTTAGCTGGGTAGCCTTGCTGACAATGGTCTTCTCCAGGCTCCTGTCCTAATCTTAAAGCGTTTGGCTTCATCACAGCTTACAAACTGGCCAGAGCATGCTTTCCTCTGGTCCTCAGTGGGTTTTTGGTTTTTTTTAACGGAACGTGTGGCTAACATTTAAAAGGAGGAAGATTTCACACAAAAAATCCAGATGTCACTTGCCTGATCCCTTTAAACATTTCAGCTTGCCTTCCCTAGCTTGAAGGTCTGGAAGGGGTCTGCAACTCAGGAATTCTAGAAGATTCTAGAAGGGATATTTGGGACATATTAAACTGAAAAAAAAAATCTCTTGTTTATCTGAAATTCAAATTCAAATGTAGTGTCTTGTGTTTGATTCTAAAACCCTCCCTTAGAGGTCAGACCACAGAAGCAGAGAGCCTCTGAGCCTCTCATTCCCTCGGGAAGCTCAGTCCTCATTGTTATTACCATTTGACATTATTGACTGAGTGGTTTTAAATTATTCCTTTGCTCTTTTTGTCTAACAAGCCCCAAAGGTTGTTTGACTTTGAGAGCTGCATTTACAGACAATGAAGGAAGCCAGAGATGATTCAAGTTGGCAAAGATGCACAGCAAAGTAAGCCCATGGCGACTCTGAGGTTGAACTATAAGCAGAACCTGTGAACGCCCTTCTGTAAGGAAGACTCAAGATCAGCCAATAAATGCAGTGACAAAAATAATAATGATAATAATAATACTGTTTCTGCTTTTCTTCCAGCCTTTTTTTGGATGGAGAGTCTTATTACATAACAGTGCTTTCAGTGTTTTGTTTTGTTTTGTTTTGTTTTTAAGTATGTGGAATATTCCCTTGCTGAAATTACAGTCTGAGAGCCAACCAAGAACATTCAGGACCCACAGACGGCATTGAGGAATGCTGGAATATTCCATGGATACTTGTCATCTGAAGTAAAGGAAGAGGAGGAGTTTGAATTCCAGAATCTGCCATTTACCTTTAAAACATCATTGGCATCCCATCATGCCTTGCATGTGTCAAGCACTTTGATGTTTCCTTCAAAAATATTTATTGAGCCCTTTCTACATGAAGTGTGGAGAGGTCGTGCGACTGGTCCAAAGTCACACAGAAAGTTGCTGAGCATTCACTGCCCCTCTAATACTCGACTTCCCCTCCCCTCATACGCACTTCATCTCTCCCTTCCTTGCTTCATTTTTTTCTTCTTAGCAATGATCTCTTTCTCACACATTACATATTTATCTTATTTATTTTCTGCATGCCTCACCGAAATGTAGCCTCCTCCCAGACAGGGGTTTCATCTGTTTTGTACATCACTTCATTCTCAGTGCCTACCACAGAAATACCTTTTCAGTGGCGACTGCCACCAGCCCCCTTTTTGAGCAGAGTCCAAATCAGAAGTCCATGAAAGGAGCAAGTCCAGAAGTGACCCCCACTCCTGTTACCAGAACAAACCGGGTCCAATCCCTCAGGCAAAGTACAACTCCAAGATGATTTTATGGGTAGGAAATGTGCTGTGAGCCAGCAAGCAAGGAGCACACTGAGGACAGCTTAGCCCTGGGTCCCTGAACAAAGGATCGGGTTAGTCTTCATTCAGGGAAATCCGGGCACAAGCATCAGAGGGAGCTTCATCATTGCATGTATAAGCGGAGACA